AGTGTAGAGATGAGGAAACTGACGGTGAGCAAGGATGACTGAAGTGTCCACAATCTTAGCACTGGCAATTAGAAGAGCTATGGTTTGAATCAGGTTTCATCAGCTTCCAAGCTTTCAAGCACCTTCTCTGCCATTGCTGATCAAATTCTCTAAACTCCAGCGAAAATGCTTATTTGTAAAAAATTAAAGTGTGTTTGAAGGTGTTAAGGAAGTTCATTTGAGCTTCACCATGATATTACAGGGATTGAATACATTATAGAAAACTGTCTTGTAGTTCCTGGCTTTGATATGTCCTTTAATAACAAGTCATCAGTTAGATTAAGAAATTTCATTTCCACAAATATTAAGAGTTTCTGCTAGGGATTTTGGGCAAATCAACACTCCAAAAGAAAACGACTAACATGGGCCTCCCCTGGTGGCGCAGCGGTTGAGCCCGTTCCATCTCCGGCCTCCAGGGCGAGGGTCCCACATGGCACGCAGACCTCTCCTGCCGCCCGCTGCTCCCCTCAGCAGTGTACTTCGGTCCTTCTGCCTGCTCTGCTCCCCGCTCTGGCTCTGGTGAGTCCTCTCACCCTCCCGCGCTTCCGACTGTACCCAGTGCTTGTATGAATAAATAAATAAATCTTTAAAAAAAAAAGAAAAAAAGAAAACGACTAACATGTTAAGGCTTCATATGCAGGGAGTTTCTCTGCAACATAGAAGTGAGTGGGTAAGTGGGGTAATCATGATCAGTAGGATCACCTGGGTGTGTTTTAGAAGCAAAGACTGGAAATTCCAGGCAATACTAAGCCCCTTTCAACTTTGATAAGATTATATAGGTGCACTATTTAAACAAGGTGAGGAAGAGCTCTCACTGATTTGAGAAGATATTATCTCCTTACTCTTCAATGAAGAGGGTACAACTTAAATCTGCTTAACAGCCATACCTTTGCTTTATTTTTTGTTTTTATTTTTTAATAAGATGTTGCTTATTTACCACTGGTAAATACTGCGTAAATACTGTATAAATCTTGGGAGTAAACTTCACACCTCAATATGTGTATAAGCTTCACCCACCACCAAAGTTCTAGTGCCATTCCCACTATGAAATTGACCCCCTACTACCTTTTCCTCTCAACACCTTTTCCTCCCATTTTGGTAATCACCATGCTTTTTGATAGAGTCTACCATTTACTTTTGCATGAACTCATTTGCTTTGTTGTTTAGAGTCTACATATGGCAGAAACCATCTGGCAATTGTCTTTCACTTTCTGACTTATATCTGCTTAGCAAAATCACCTCAGGTTCCATCTATGTTGTCACAAGCCATGTGTTTATTTACTGTACCTTCCCTAGTAACCTACTGTGACCTCTCTCTTTCTACCCCACCAATTTTCTTTGTCTTTGCTGAGGTTATTTTATGGTAAGTAAAAACACATGGGTGAGTTACTGGGTCTCTTCAATGTATAAAGAAAGCATACATGTTGTCATTAAATTCATTTTTCCTTTGCTAAAAAAAGTAAAATAAAGACTATGAGAAGGTGTAATAGCTACACATTAAAAGCTATAGTTGCTACAATACCTGTTTTCTCTTCCACACAGTGTCTACGCATAGCTTATATATCAAAAAATCATCAAAATGTCTGTAATTCTCCTGGCCCAGAAAGTATGAATTTCTCTCTAGCTAATTTTATAATATTAAGTTATTCCTTATAATTCACATATTTTTAGCAGTACCCAATGGTGTATCAGCTAAATTACTCTATCTTGAGATATAGTTCACTAAAGCCATGTAAATTATATCCCACTTCAGTGAGCCTGTATTTATAGCACATGATATCCATATTTATTAAAAGCAACCCTACAATCTTAGTCTAAAGTAAAAACTGTTAAAATTCATTATTATATATAATATAGTTAATGATTGTCTGAAGCCTCAAAGGAATCCCCTTAAAAACTCTACCATTTATAATCCCATTATGCTTTTATATTAAATTTTAAATGTTATTAAGCTGCTATTTTCTTTAGGATGGACTATAAGCAATTCTCCATTATTTGAATAGTAGAGAAAATTAGTACAATGGGTGATCCACAATAGTGAAATATTAAAAAAAAAAGCTTGACTTTACAATTATTTTCTACAATACGTTTTACCCTTCTAAACTTATTTCATTAAATTTAGCTTACAGATTCCAGATACATATTAAGTGACAGTAGGAAATACTGGTTGGAAGTGCAATTATAAAGTTAAACATAATAAATTTAATAATAAAAAATAGGATAAGTCCTGAAAGGATAACTGAAAATTGACTATGAATTACTAGCTATTATAACAGAAATAGAAAACTCTCATATGAGAATATTCCTCAAGATGAACTAGGTCAGGAGAAAAACAAATACCCTAAAGATTTTCAGTAATTTAACTAGTTTGCTTAACATAACTAACTAATCAATTTTATAATTGATTTAACTGAAAGTAGAGATTGAATTATAATAAGGATGATCAAATAAATTAAGATCCTTCTGGAAATTTAATACATTCTCTTTCATTGTCTGACTCATGCACTCATGAGTCCATAGAAAAAAAACAAGAGATATACACAAAATTGTTTGAAATTAAGGAGAAACAGAACTAGAATCCAGTTCCAGCAACCTTGAGTATTTTACCCGATTTTCTTTAAATACAGCCAGTTTCCTACATTTGTTTTGCAACCATTCAATACTCAGCAGTTCTTAGAAATACTTTTGTGTTCTCAGCTTCATTTGTACTATCTCTCCCTTTTAATCTATTATTTGATGACATTTATTGAGCTCTTTGTAAAAGCTAGGCCCAGTCCCAAGCTCCTTCATTCATTCAACCCTCACATGAACTTTGTCAAATAAGTACAACTATTATCTCCATTTCACAGATAAGAGGGCTGAGACTTGTGGCCCCACTGCCTTCTCTCTCAGCCACTGAAGTGTGTTAAATGGTACCCCCTCCCCTGCCAAAAAAAAAAAAAAATAGATGTCCATTGTCTTAACCCTTAAGTCTTTGTGATGTAATTAAGTTAAAGCTATTGAGATGATGAGATCATCTTGAGTAATCAGGACCAAAAGCCAATGACAAGTAGCCTCATAAGAGACAGAAGATACAGACACACAGAGGAGAAGGTAATGTGAAGACAGAGGCAGAGACAGGAGTAATGTAGTCACAAGTCAAGGAATGCCTGAAACCACCAGAAGCTGGCAAAGGAAATGAGTTCTCCCTCGAAGTCTGGAGAGAGTATAGCCCTGCCAGAATTTGGATTCCTACTTCCAGAACTGTAACAGAATGAATTTCTGTTGTTTAAGTCACTCATTTGCCATAATTTGTTATGGCAACCCTAGAAAATGAATACAACCACCCTGTGCTGATACACTGCCACTATTCTAGGAGTATAAAGGGTCTCTTTACTACCATCCCAGAGTTTCACTCCTGGAGAAGGATCTAACAGAGTTTCGCTTCTTACCACAAAAGTGCCCTCTGCAAATGATACTTTCTGGTAAAATGTATCCTTGAATACTACGTCTTCCTTTTATAGTTCAGAATCTATTATTTGTCTTCTATGTAGTTTTTACTCTATGGCGGTGCAGGTTTTTTCCAGTTACAATAATGAATGCCGTTGCTTTATTCAAAATATAGTTTACACACTAAGTACAAACAACGTGGAGCCAATTTGTACTTGAAAATGCAATTCATTCTAACATTACTATTTGGAAAATTTCCTAACATTTTAATTCAGAAAGTATATGATGTGATACATAAATATTATTTAACACATTTTTAAATGTATATTTAGTAACTCAAGTATTCCATGAGTATTATTTTAGTAAAGTGAGGGGAGCTATTTTCCAGTTATAAAATAAATGTCAAGGAGATATGACTATTACAGTTCATAATACTCTATTGTATATGTGTTTTTTATATTGAAGTGGATCTTAAAAGATATTACAAGAAAAAATGTATTTGTGTGTTGACACATATTAACTACTTAGTATGGTGTTCATTTTCAAATATTCTAAGTCATTCTATTTTACAACTGAAACTTATACAATATTATGTCAATTATATCTCAATTTAAAAAAGAGATGAGCTTACAAGACACCTACACAAACACACTCACACACATGTTCTCTCCTATCCCTCAATAAAAAGAAAAACTATTTCTAATCCCACTTGATATTGTCTCTGTTTTTCATTCTGCATCTACACTTTACCTCTCACACTGTTCTGGTCCAGTGTTGACCATAAGAACCAGCAAGCATCTCACTCATACCTGACTTAAACGATAGAATTGGGGACAATGGTGCTGATGCTTTTCAGATGAGATCTGTAATCTTATCTACTGGCTATGGCTCACATTAGTTGTATGCCTTTGCCCAGCGGTTGAGGTGATTTCAGTTGGTGGGAAGTCAGAGCAGATGTGGGGCAGGGAAGGAAGGAAGTCAATCATTTGGTGCTCCTTTTCTTTCACTGCAGAACTGAAGGGCTGGTCATGGTTCTAACTCCTTTACCTGCTATTGCAGTAGTTGGCCTGTCAGAAGACCTCTCACCATAGCTTAAATTCTCTTCAGATTCTGCCCACCCCTTCCCTCCTTCAAGTCTTGAGTGGTGGAGCTTCATCCCCCATCACGAGATGCTGGTGTCTCCTATCATTTATCTGTTTTCTTAACTCTGTCCACACCACCATAAACAGCCTTTTCAATGACTCCTTTCAATCACTCCTTTGAATGAGTCTTCTGCCAGTGCTCATTGAAACAATTAGTGGGTATCCCAGCTGGTAGCATCAATCAAACACACAGAATAACTTTTCCCAAACATAATATTATTCTGGGTTTTGAAAAAAAATTCCAGTGTAAGGAAATTATAACTGGTTCTGACTGGTTTAGGTTTCTCCTTTAACAACAACAAAAACAAAAGGTGGTAGCTTGGGAAGACTTTGTTCCCCTCAGACACTATAACTGACTGTTATCATTGAATGAATTGGGTTCCAAAATACCTTTCAACACCATCGCTGACACACTCAGGGAAGGCAAGGCTACAGCCAAAAAGCAAGATATGTTGATAGCAACCAAGGCGGTGGAGGAACATGAAGAACTTGAGGAACTTCTCCATTTCCAGATTTTTGACAGTTGAGAAGACAGGTGTTAGTGTGGTGTAGTAAGGCAGCATCTGACATTGGCTGTGCGTGATATTCATGCAGGTACCTAGGAATACAAAATAGCTGTGTTAGGAGCAGATATACCAAAACTACAATTGTTTTGTTTTTAAAGATTTATTTATTTTATGCATACAACAGCTGGGGTACAGGCCAGAGATGCGGGGGATGAGAGGATCCCTCAGAGACAGAGTAGGGAACTGAACAGGCAGACTGACCGAAATACACTGCTGAGGGGAGCAGCAGGCGAGACAGAAGAGGTCTGCCTCACCATGTGAGTTTCTCCCTGTCTGGCTGGGGATTGAACTTGTGCTGTAGAGGCTGTGGATTGCTTCATAGTGCGGTACTTAACCCCTTGCGCCACCAAGGAGGCCCCAAAACTATATTTGTACAAATGCTCTTGATATGATAGGTTAATGTGCTCATAAGGCAAAATATTTGTGTAAGAGTGATTATAGGCATATAGTCAGACACATACATATACATATATGTGTGTGAACATACATGCATGTGTGCATGACATAATAAATTCAAGCTACTAATATTCTCAAAGGGATAGCACCAATGTCCTCAGCAAATGTGTAGAAAAAAAAATTCATATCTATGGGCAATGGGTTATGATGGAAGATTATTGGCACTTTTTTGGGGGGTGTAGTGTCATAACTATACATTAACAGAGGTGTGTACTTTACCCCTAAAACACACACAATATGGTAACCAGCTGGACCTCATTAAACATAATTAAATACATATAAGTATAAATAAAAGATTACAAAACAAACAACAGAAAACTTAGCTGTATGAAAGAGGCTTTATAAGACTATTTAATCACAGAAAAATGCTTATAAAAACAGAAATAAAAATAGCAAGTCACAAAACAATTTTGTATACCATGATCCTGTTTTTAAAAGCACATGGGCGGTATACTCAAAACCTCTGATTTCCTTTTATTTTCATAGCTGGCTCTTCCACTGGACACTAGGATATCCAGTCTTTCCTTCTGCATTCCATTATAAAGGAGATTTGCATAGTTGATTGAACAAAAAGATAAATATGGGTCCAAATGATGAGACTATGGGAGACTTAGATTACTTTTTATTCTGTATTCTCTTATTGGTTTACATAAAGATTTATAACTTCTATTAAGAAGGAAATAATTAAAGCTTTATTCTTGTTTAAACAAGCTATTAATGAAAAGCAGAATCTTCAAGCTTTGGGAATGCAGTGGACGTATTACCTCTAAATATTGGTAGGGAGAGTAAAATGAGATAGACATTCAACAAAATACAAATATCTCTTCTAATCACTAATATCCTGGCAAAGAAATTAAAAGAAAAATCTCTTCACTTAAGGCTAATTTCATTTTACTATAAATAGTTGTTAAATATGGCTGCATCACTGATAAAAAAACTAACTCTCTGATGTGTAATATAGAATAAATATACCCTATCACAGAAGAATTTCCAACCCCCTTTCCTTCATTTGGATAGATTTTTTTCATTCATTCAGCTAGATCACCTCAGAGTCTTTACTGCTGACCCTTCATTGTCTTCTCTGGTCTCTTTCTAAGCACACTTCCTAAGCTTATTTTTCTTTCAAACTTATTTGAAAAACTTCCTTCATTCTGTAGGAAACCTTTCTCCCAAATGAGCAGGTTGTACCCATTAGATCAAAGAGTTTCACACTTCATGAAAAGACACAATTCTGATTGTTAGATAATACATATACAGACCATCCAAAATGTGCTGAATTCGCTGGAGCATGAACAAAATATGATTTCCACTTTTAAAGGCAACCAATGACATGTGAAATTTCTCTGTGCACAAGGCCCAGAATAGAGATGGCAAAAAATTTAAAGGCACAACACTCTCTTGGACCTCGTCAAAACTGAAAACACATGATGGGAAAGAAAAGAATTAGAGAGAAGAAAAATCCAAGTTAAGATATGCAGACAAAATACAAATAGACACACACTCACTAGTTCCAATTCATGGATTTGCATGAGTGCTGAGGTGAGGAGTTCTGGGCATGTTTTGTGATTATGACACATCTTCTAGTGAGAGGAATTAAAATGCCTTTCAGCATGGCCAAGCATTACAGGCAGAAACATACAAACAGTAGTCTTCAAAATGACACAATTGTACGTATTGTGCTATAAACAGAAAAGCTTGCTTGTAGAGCTGACAGTAATTTTTTCTTCATCAGAAACATGAGCTTATATGTGTAAAATTCAGTCTCAAGAAAACATTTATTGAAAGCCAACCTGTGCTGGGCTCTAAAACAAGTATGCAGATTCTCTATTCACAGTGATTTCATTTTCATAGCCCGATGAACTGGTATCATATCTATGTTATAGAAGTGGAAACTCATTTCAAAAAGGCTAAGACATCTGTTTGGATGTGCATGCTATTATGTGGAAATCCATATCTTCAACTCCATATCTATTTGAAACTACCCTATGCTAATGTAAATGGGGTTATTATGTTAAAAGCAAGTTTTTGAAAAGATAATTCTTAGTGGTCCATAAAAGGAAGATATGTACTAATATATATCACAAAGTCTGTTTCTATGTATTGGGTGATAACACTCATATATACTGACCACATCAGATATTTTATATTACATTGTTTCCTCTAAGTGTTATCAGTTTTTAGGTCAATACAATTGATGACAGACCATATTTGAAGCAATTTGATGATCAAAGGAATCATTCAGCCCAACTAGTTAAGATAAAATAATAATTTTTCAGAGAGTATTTGAAGAATACAAGATAGGGAGGAAATTTTTTTGTTTCTTGTGCTATGTTCATAATGGTGAGAAGTGCCCAAAAGAAAAAAAAATCTGTCTTTAATAGCAAACTACCTTGGGAAAAAAGAACCTATATTCAGGAAAATATAAAAGAATAATATGAAGCCTTAAACATAAGTCTCAAAATAGTCAATATAGATAAAAATAAAAAAAGTCTTCTATTTGTATAATAGTTTTCCAAAGCACTGTCATATTGTAAGATGTAATCCTAATAATATAACACATACTGTCTCATTATAAATGAAGAAATTTTGATAGATAGCTATGCAGATGATGGATGGATGGATGGATGGATGGAAAAATAGGTAGATAGGTAAATAGGTAACTGGACAAAAAGTGATTTGCAGGACACATAGGCAGCAATAGAAGTGGGACTGATACACACATCCTTCATCTCTTAGGGAAATATTTTTCCACTATATCACAGATGTCAAGAGCACAACAAATGCCAATGGATTCAGAAGAGCAAGAATTTAATGTAGGGTGAATGATTAGAGAAGATTTCATGAAGAAAGATACATAAACTTTGGGTTGCAAAAGGGATAAAAAAGGATAATTACTACTAGTAGAAAAAAATAGCTACGAAGACTGAAAATCATAATTGTATTGACAAAAAAAGATTGAAAAACTTGATTCCAAGCAGAACGGTTCACTGAATTTAGACCAGAATTTGCTCAAAACCAACAAATATAAAAGGGAATGACTCTAACATTTTGACTTCAAACCTTTAATACTCAAGTAATTGTATATATTTCCTGACACCCTTTCTGCCTCAATAATTGTGTCAAATATTTTTCCCTAAAATGCTCCATTTTCTTTGAAATGTGTACTTCTAGCATTGTAGTTTTGCACATTCTCACTGGGGCAATGAGTTTCTATAAGCAAGCTACATGCAGTGGTGCACCATGCAGTTATTTCTCCATGGGAAAGTGTGGGGAGAGGCTCTTTTGGAAATGGATTCATTTATTGTAGTTGTCCCTCTTTTCAGAGGGTTAAGAAAAGTTTGCTTTTCTTTCCTAAGAACTTCCTACTAAGTCCAATAGAAATTAGAGGTCAGATTTGCTGTATAGGAATGTATAAAAAACACAGCAGATGTAATTAACTTGGTGTTCCTATAGACATCATTACTTAATTAATGTGTCTTCCCTAAATAACAGCTATTTCAAGTGGCAGAATGGAAAGGGAGGTTAAAAACACCCTTGCTAGTAAGATATGATTCAATAACAATTTTTTAGCATAAGTATTGATTACATCATAATGTTGATGTTCAACTGATGTTTTATCAGCACTGGTATCTTCAGCACCTCTGGTCTACACCCTAGATCTTGTATGCATAAATAAATAAATCTTTAAAAATAAGTATTTAAGGCTACAGAGATATTAATTGTGGAAATTCAAACTAGGTCTTTCTGATTCTTTATCTTGTTCTTTTCCACTGTATTACACAAAGATACTATTTGATTTTAAACATTGTAAATTTACTTCATTTATTGTAAAATATTTTTATGGATGTCTTTGGATTCTAGTAGTAGAGCTCCTTCTTTAAAACTGGTAAAAACTAAATCTTCTCAAAGAAAGCAATGAATCACCTATCAAAAGTAGGTTACACATCCTCAGTGAGTGCCCAATTAGATGGGAATGTTTAGTATCTAGTCCTGATGTACCAGTGACAATGAGGCATTTATTATAGCATAAAACGGTATGAGTTACCAATCTTCTCTTTTAAGAAATAAAGAGAAGTAAAATGGATCATATTTTCTTCTGTTTCTGAACCTCTCATTCAGAATTTCTCAATTATAAATATGTTTATGTCTCAAGGCAGTCACAAGACAACTATAATTTCTGACTCATCTTTATAGTCTGCATAACCAAATTCCAGACTTTCATTCCCTAAATTGCTACTAATGAAGGGAGGGTGCTTCCCAGAATATTCCCTAGACTCTTAGAAATTGAGATCTTCCATAAAGCTTGCAGCAGTACACAACCACCAGAATGAGTTTACACAAATTAATATAATTATAAGCAAGTACTGTAAGTTGGATCAATTCAAGCACCACATGAAAATATTAGGTTAATGATGAAAAGCAGCAAGATAAAAGAATAAAATATGTAACACTACAAGACAATGAGTGGCTTGCATTAAATGTGAATGTCAATGCAAAGGTTTGGCTTGGAAAACCATTACCATACACATTTCAACTGCAAGTGAAAAGACAAACTCTCCAAAAGTACAAGTAACAG